CCTATAAATGTTAGAAATGTGTGGGTGTCTTAAATGATGATTAAAATTGTAGAGGAACCTAGTTTATCCGCTTACAAAATGTTAAAGTCAAAAATGGTTTAAAGCCCATTGGTTGAGGAATTCATGATGGTACCCAACTTAGGTATCTAAATTCAATGTGGTTAAACGAAGTCATGAAAATACTCATAGTGTACATTTCTACCTATCTATCCCTCTAATGAATAATGTAAATGCACAATATGAGCTTTATTGTTCTTAATAAATTCATAACCCAAGCTTTGAGTGGTCTTAGTGAGAAAGACTTGATGAATTTACCGATTTTGGTTGAATATCTACTTTTAATAAGTTCATAACCCAGTGTTAAGTGGGTAGTCCTATTGCAAAGGACTAAATGGATTTACCACTAGAGAGGATGGTTTTTCCTTAAACTCTTAATGAATTTAATCCCAAGAGTTGAGTGATCCTATTGAGAAAGACTTATTGAATTTACCGATTAAAGATGTTGAGTATTTATTCTTTACACAATCATCCAAATTGATTTATTTAGGTAATGGGATTGTGGTTATATAAATATGTATGATTATAAACAAAATAAAATCTTTATTTTAACTACATTAGATTAATTTATGTGCATTCCCCTATCCTGGAGTCAGCTTTAAGGTGTTGAGGGACACCATTGAACCTCGGCTTTAAGCTTGGGGTCATAGAAAAAAAGTGTCAAATTCGTGTAGATAACCAGACGCGTTTCTTTGAATTATTCATTAGATAAGTTTATACGAAATAACTTAAAAAGAGAAAAATTATTAGTAGAAGAGAAAATTCATTAAATGTCGAAAATAACAAGAGCCTTTGTAATATATCTTAAATTGTTTTATTTTCTCTCTCTCAAATTACATGTATTAAACGTCTAATGTCAATTTCTATTTGTAGGATCAATTATTTAATTACAAATAAAATTTGAGTAACAAGAAATGACTTCAATAAGATTTTTTTATTTTTTTAAAAAATAGTTAATAGAAGAAATTGTTTCTTCATCAAATATGTCATATAAATGACAAACTTTTTTATTTGAATAATATGAAATGATTATAATATAATATAATATAATATAAATTTAATATTTTTTTAGTGTATTGACAATGTGCATACAGCTTCTAAACGCAATTATATAAATCTTAAATCGTCTAAAAATAACAATACTCTTTTTTACTACTAAAGTAACTCATAACCTCAATGAGTTATAAATGACCAAGATTGCGTCGACCACGTATGTTACTTCTTTGGCTTATGGTATAGCAAAAAATCATTTGGATCACCTCTAAGTTCTAACTGTATACATGGACGAAGCTATGCTCATCTCTACATAAGATAAATACCTATTTAAACCTTTAAAGTTTAATTTATTTTAATTTTATCTCCTTAATTTTTTATTATTAATTATATTTTATCCTTCTTAAATTGATATCATAGCTCCGACTCTATAGTAAGTGATGTATTTCCTTGGGTATTCTATAAATGCCGGAGTTCCCTTCCCTCTACCCCTAAACCTTTTGTCTTCTTCACCCATGCCTAAATGTCATAGTTCCCTTCCGCCTGCCCCCAAAACCTTTATCTTTTGAACCCATGCCTGCCTACATGGTGGGCCAGTTAGACTGACTTGATTCTCTACTTTCCAGTCATTTGACACTAAAGATGACAGAATCTGAGATTGTCCACTATTTTGATTTTGGAACCATTCCTTGTTTCATCTTAACAACACACTAAAGTTTTGGGTTTTATGATACTTCTTTACAATGGTAAAAAAGAATTCCTTGAGGAATGATGGAATCTTCACGAGGTACTAACTTCATTTTGGCAATATGGGGTTTAGTGAGTCGGATTGGCACAAGAAAGTTTACGGGAGTTCTACTGTGTGATGGGGCCGAGTTTTAATCTAAAATATTATTGTCTCTTTGAAAAAGTAATACGATCGATAATGCTTTCGGTTGTAACTGAGAATGTTACATTACAACGGATTTTAACCTATAATGTTATCATGTTTACTCTAAAAAGTTACACAATTGAAAGTAATTTTGATTACAACTGAGAATGTTATATTAGTTTTTATACAATAATATTTTAGGTTGTAATCACAATAGTTATACAATTCACGAGATTTATTATGGAGAATAGTAATATTTTCAATTTCAACCTAAATTGTTATCTGATTTACTCTAAAATATTATGCACTTGATAATTTTTTTTATTACAACCGTTTGTAGCATTTTCTTAACCTTATATCAATGGTTCGTAATTTAGACTCCCTAAAAATTTACCCTCAAATTAATGTTTTATTGAACGACTTTTAAGCCATTACCTTTTAAAAAATAATGTTGAATAGAATTAGAGTTTATATTATTTTCAAAAGTTAAGAATGTAAAATGAAACCCCATGCCAAAAACAAGTTATGGAACTTCTTGCTACCTTATATTCAAAATTATATTGTGATTTTTACTTAAGAATTTAGCACATACCTCTTCCACACGTCAAAGAGTTAAATTCAGAAGTTGGTGTGGTGAATATGGCCTCTCTATGATTTTGCATGAGTAATGATAAAAAAGAAAAAGAAAAGTTGTTTATTATTCATTCACAATGGGTAGGAGCCAATACTAAAAGTGGGAAATAAAGAAGAAGGGTTTATGAAGAATGGATTGGCCTACAAAGGGAAAATGTCATGCAACTTTTTTATTCATGTTCTTGACTTATCCTATTTTAATCCCCATAATTTGTTATTGTTTATTAAAAAATCTAATAGCACTTGTGAAAGCAAGGCTTTTGCTCATGAAATTTGCATTTTCTCCCTCAAAAATCAGATCAAAATTATTATATATGAATTTTATGTTGCAAAGATTCTATTTACCATTTGAAACTTTTTTGTGGTTCATTTTGAATGTATTGCTCACTTTTGGCATTCATAATTAGGTGAACCCAAGGAATTGTTACTTTCTTAGAGTTAAGATATGAAAGAAGGACACCGTCTTTATTTATTTTTACATTAAAGAGATTGTTGTTTTAACTACAAGACGGGATTGTTGGATCTCTTAATTCGATTAATATCGTTACTCTCAGGGATGAACCGAGGGGACGGATGGTTACAGTTGCCCCCTTAAAAATTCAAAATTATCTTATATTTTATATTTTTATATGTATCTTCTATTGAAAATATATTTTCCTCCATTAAAATTTTATTTGCGATTTACTAAAATTTTAGAGGTTTGACTCCTAACATAAAATCCTACATCCGTCCATGATTACTATTATAACATACATAAAAATACAAATTAGAATGTGTTTAAACACATAATATTTTTCAATTTATCAATAAAAAGATATCAAGATAATTAAGACATTATACCTAGAAAAGCCACTATGATAACTGTATAAGCTAAACTCCAATTCTTATTATTTTCTATTAAAAGGAAAGCCTCCTTGTTTGCCTTTGTAGAAAATGTGTTCCATTTAATTGATTTTATTGTTATGTAGGAACTAAGGCAGGATCTAAAGGTAGGGAGATGAAATTTTAAAATTTTAAAATTTTGAAAGGGGACAAATTTATAAAATTTTAGAGGAGCGAAAATAGATTATCAATTGAAAATACATAAAATTATATATATAAAATATATACTAATTTAACTCTTTTGGAATATGACGGCCACTCCTATCCACCCTTTTGTACATCCATATTCTTATTTTTTTTCTTAGTTCAATAATTAAGTTTTTTTATTTATAGAAGCCGCCAATTTTATTAAAAATAAAAAATATACAAATTACAATAAATGTTTACACCCACAATCGAAAAACTAAACACATAATAAAATAGTTTCCTAAATACGAAAAAACTAGCCACTTAAGATTACAAGGATCATACAAGAAAAAGGTTAAAAAACCTAACCAAATAAACTCGGATAAAAGATAGATACAAACATATCTGACTGCATAGGCAAACAAACTACAAAAGAGAATAAAGCTATTGAAAGACCATCGGTAAATCACAAATCAGAACTGAGCGACATGAAAATATTATACACGAACGCAAATCGCGTATCTAAATCTAATCTAAGGATCCAAAGCAACGAGATCAACATGATAACAAATAAAGTGCGATATTGATCAGTCACGGCGATGTCAAATACAACATTGAAAACGAAAAAAACGGCCAAACTACCAAAATAGTTCCATAAGGACAGACTGAAACATGTCATAATGGCAGAAGAAGACATGTCATTAAGTCAAAATTATTAAAAAGAAAGAAAGAAAAAAAGTAAAGATACGTTATAATAAAGTAAAGTAAAAATAATGAATACCGACATTCGCCAATTAGCACAGGGATGATACCATCACTAACCATAAAGATAAAGAAAAAAGAGACTAACGATGGCTAAGAAAAAGGAGAGAAAAATAGTGCAAACCCTATTAAATAGTTAAATAATTAAGTTAAGATGCATTTATTGATGTAAAATACATTTATCGTTACAGTTTGAAAAATATTTATCTATTTCCCTTTAAAAAAACAAAATCGTTTGAGATCAACTAACATATTAATGAAGTAGCTTTCTCATTTAATCCTATATAGGATATATACCATGAGCACTTAAAGCATTATAATGGGCAAAAGGCTTACAAGTAAGATTTATTAATTTATTTTAAGCACTTGGATTCTATAAATTTTCTGAAGGTATTCGAACGTTATTAACGTAAATTAAGAGAGAGAGAAGAGAGAGAAAACATCATAATAATTATAAAACTATAAACATTTCATTAATGATAGAAACATGATCAACCCATATTACATAATTACAGATTATGAGAAAATTAAAAATTAGTACAAACTGTTGACAGAGAAAGGACATAAACTTGAAGCATTAAGAAACACAACATATTAATTTAATTTTAATTAAGCAGTCTGATTATTTTTGCATGGGTTTCAACCAGGAATTTTCCATGCAAAAATATCAGCTTGTTAGATTATTTTACTGTCAAACTTTGTTTGAAGCATCTATGGTGTTGGTCTTAGTATTTTGAGCTTCATCGATCCCGTCATCGTTGTTGTCATTGTCATTGTTAATATTTGTTACGTTCGCGTTCACTTCCAAGCACACGGTGGATCCGAGTTTTACGATGTCGACAACGATGTGCTGAGTCGATAATTGAAGCTTCGGATCTTCAACAATTTTCTTGGGGTGGTTCTTGTAAAGAGCGTAAAGAATCATTTGAAGAATTCCAAATATAAACCCAAGTACATTCGGAACCTGTTGAGATTCAATGTGAATAAACTGAAAAAGATGAAAGAATTTGCATGAATTATAAGATTAAAAACGTACGGCAATGTTCATGTCCTTCAATAAAAGCCCATAGAAGAACCACATCACTGCTCCCAAGGTGAGGAAAACTGATAAAGTAAATGGCATATACTCCACACTCTTGGTTTTTATCACTTTTCTCTGCAAAAACACACACACATATATTCAGCTAGTTTTTAACCAAAAGTATTAAAGGGTGTATGCAAAAGTACACAATGAACCAACTAGGTTAAATCTGGGCATGAATTTAAATAGCGTTCCACAATTGAAATAACGGCTGTTAAAAATGTCATCCGAAACTGTTTTTTTATGACCGCGATAAGTGCTATTGTCGCAATCACCATAAACGCAATACAACCGCAATTTAAATTCTGACATGGGGTATTATGCTTACCACAATGCCAAGGGGTGCAACGAACACACACAAAGAGAATGTCATGCAAATGTATCCCAGAATTTGAAGACGGGTCAAAGAGTTTGGCAGGAAGAATGTTGAGAAAAAGATTACTCCGAACCCGAAAACATTGAATAAGAGGGTAAGTTTCACTGCCTCCGCCTGAAAATTTACTCATTTGTGAGTAATTTATCCGAAAATATCAGAAAAAAAGATTAAATCCAAGGTTGAAAGGGAATGTAAAACAGTACCTTTTCCTTCTTAGGACTGTAGTAAAAGTAAGCAACGAGATAAAAAGTCTGAATGAAAACGCAGAAAGTGTTGATGGTGATGAGAAGCATAGCATCCTTCTTAAGGAGTGCATAGTAAATCCAAAGCATGGCACTGAAGAGCGAAATCACGTAAGGGATTGATTGGAAGCCTTCCGATGTTTTCTTCTTGTATATTTGGTAAAATGTTGGCCTGCAAAATCATATATATATCAGCAACCATTGATATATAAGACAAAGTCACTGAAATTACAGTGAAATGAAAAGATGATAACTGTGACTTACAGTGGAGCAAGGGAAACCAGAAACGAAACAACGTTGCCTAAAAAGAAACAAACATGAAATATCAGATATTGAGAAAGAAATGGTGATTAAAGAATATGCACACACATATATGTATGTTGGGCATACCGAGAATGCCAAAAACGAAGACCCAAGAGAGATGAAGAGCCATATTTGTATGTATATGTTTGTGAAATCCCTCTCAATCTTTCTTCAAAAAGAAAGTAGTTATCAAGTGATGAGGCTCTTTCTATCTCATTACTCTCAAATCCCACAAGCTATGAAAGCACTCTTGGGGTCTGTATTTATAGTGATGGAAAAGGGTAGGCTGAGGAATTTATGCATTATTGCTCTTGTTCTTTCATGAGGTATGTAAATGAATTGGATTTTGAATCTCAATACCTCCTCCTTACGCCCCACTTTGCAACTAGACTTGTGGTAGGAATATTCACTTAAACTTAAATTATTTTTAGGGTATAGTGCATAAATAGTCCCCAGATTATAATGTGTTGTTTTGTTAAGTCTACCGACTATTAAAAGTTACAAAATGATCATCTGATTATAGAGCATTGTTTTGCTGAGTCCCTCAACAATTAAAAGTTACAAATCGATCACTCGACTATTTATATGTTCCAAACTCGTCATTTCTCATTAAAAAAATTGACAACCATATGAGTTGGACTTTAACATGTTGACTAGGATATGATAAAATCACATTTTAATGATTTTTACTAGAATCGATGTTGTTTTCAAGCAATGTCTCGACGGCATAATATTTCAATCAATGACTCAATGACATAATCTAAATAGAGAGACGATCCACAAAATACAACTTAAACAATTCGAGTATAAAATTTTATCATATCTCAATCAATAAGTTAACATCTAAATCAGACAGCCACGAATTTTTAATGAAAAAGGACGAGTTGGAACATATAAATAGTCATGTTATGATTTTGTAACTTTTAATAGTTGGTAGACTTAACAAAATAATGTCCTATAATCAGAGGACCATTTGTGTAGTTCACCCTTTTTTTATTAGTACAATGTGATCAAAATTTTATTAGCCAATTGACCATAAAGACACAAACCATGGAGATACAATTACTTGAACCAAGACTACAAGAGCGAATAATATTATCGTTTATCACTGAAGTCATTTAATGAGTTCGGATCGATTCAACTTGAATTAATAGATTAGATAATCTATCACAACTCTCAAATTTGTAAATAAATTTGAGGTAGTTTAACTTAAATCGTTGGCTTAAACTAGCCATCAAAACAATAAAATCATTAATTCAATTTAATTTAATTCAATTTGATCTAATCTCTCATATGTTACTTTAAATTAACGTGAAAAATCTATGCGGGGAAACTCACCAACTAAAATCATGTGTGACGCGGGTCGATACGAATTAGTCAAGGCGAAGTCTTGAAACCAGGAAGGCAACCAAAAAAAGAAAGGTGAACAAAGAAGATGAGTTTATATATATATATATATATATATATATATATAAAGGAAAAATAATGGGTAGTGAACTTTTTAATGTTTACACATAAACAATATATATATATATATAAATTAACTATCCCCAAGGCTAACCTACCTTACCCTAAACCCTAATTTTAGCTAAAGATTCTTACTTTTTATCCTAAAAAGGGAGGTTGTTGTTGAATGGAAGCAGCCCCAATTTTCCACCTACTCCCTACTTGGCAGTACCATTCCTAGTACAAACACAAATTGAAGGGCCCCCACCATTTACCCTTTATGATGTGTCTTCCAACAAGTGGTTTTTAAGGCTTACAACTCATACTTCATTGTCCACATTTTCTGTTGCCGTTTTCCCTTTTAAATGTTTTTAGGAGTCACGGTAAGACCTTCCCTTCCATCTGGGACGAAGATGATATTCCCAACTAAAAACATAAAAATTGTAATGTTTATCTTTGAATAAATCTAAGGATAAATTAATCTGGCGGTCCTTAAACATTTATAGTATCTTTACTTTGGTTAGTAAACTTCTACAATTTGTATTTTAATCACTTAAATTTGAAATAACTTTCATTGTAAACCGCTAGTTGCCTTTAACAACTGATATCGTATGACCATATATAATTTTCCACAATACATTGATTCCAAGTTTTTTACATTTTCATGTAATAAAAAATAAAAACATCTCTAATCTTGTATTGATTTAGTATAAAATCAAATAAAACCCTAAAAATAAATATTGAACTTCTTTTTTCTGTTTCATCATCTTCAACAATAATGAAAGAATCCATTGCAATCCCAACATGATTTTGTGAAATTACAATTGTCTCACACATTACTTGAACTAACCACATGATGAAAGGAGATTTTTTTTTTTTTTTTTTGCCTTTTGGGCACGTGAATCACATTGGCGAATACAAAATAGTTATATTACGAAGCTAATATAAATAAAATAAAAATTTATCTAAAATAATTCATACATATATTTTATTTTAAAAATAATAACATCTATACATATTTAGATTGAATATAGAAAAATACATCAACTAAGTCAATATAATTTTTAACACAATTTATATATATTTAAATTATATTCTTTTTTTATTTTATTTATTTGGGATATGGACTGGGCCATGGCCTAGGTAAGCTCATCCCTAGATATGCCCCTGTTGAATCATATGCATCGTTTTAAAGAGTGCGTTTGGTTCACGAAATATAAGATTACCAGTGAGAATAAAAGATTACCTTAGAATAGGATTACTGAGAATGTTGTATTTTGTGTTTGGTTGGTTTAGTAGGAATGTAAGATTACCGTGTTTGGTTAAATGAATAAAAAATTATTGGAATGTATATTTTACCAAATTGTCCTTATTATATATTTGTTTTTTAACAAGTTGAATTCTATTATAATATTACTATAATTAATTTATATATTTTCTTTAAAAAATTATATAGTTTTTTAGAAAATTTAAAAGGTAAATAGGTTTAATGAAAGGATAAAATTTTATTTTAACCCCTGAACTTCATATAAAATTCTAATTATGGACTTTTTTTGTAAATCTAAAATAGTTTAAGGATAAATTTATAATTTAACCTTCATAGAATTTTTATTATTCAACGACAGAAGAAGGATAATTTAAAAAAAAAATTAAGGGCATTTTTGTCTAAAACGCCGGTAATCCAACAATACTTAAAGGAAGGGGTAATCATATTTCCGGTAATATACCCCAAAAAATCCACTGTTGGTAATAAAAGATTATTGGCCAACCAAACGGTGGAATAAGGATTCTATTCCCCTGGTAATCAAGAATGTCGTGAACCAAACGACCCCTAAATCTATGTTCACGAGCTGTCATAGATGAACCGATATTTTCCTATAAAATTTTCAAGTTCTCTTATATTTTATATTTTTTGTTTTCTATTAATAATTTGTTTCGTCCCCTAAAATTTTATAAATTTACTCTCTTCAAAATATTTGTAAGTTCATCCGAACGTAAAATCTTGTTTTTGTCCCTGTGAGGTGTGATAGTTGGTTAATTAAAAAAAATCAAAATCATAGAGAGAGAAAGAAGGTTTGAACGAATCAGTTAGGTGTTTTGCTTGATGGTTCTGTTGTACATAGTATGGTTAGTATAGTTGAGGAAATGGAAAGAAAAGGTGTAAGTTTAGAGTAAGCTGTAATTTAGTAATTGGTGAATTTACTTAGGTGGCAATGGAAATGGTTAATTTCAATATTAATTTTCCTTTTTTTTTTGTTGCTTATTGTAGGTGATTTGGTTAGTGTATGCTGTGATTTCAATGGAAATTATTTGTGTTTCTCATTAGCTGGCTTGGTTAGTGTAACATTTACTAGTAATTGAGATGGAAAACTAAAAAGTAGATTAAAAACCCAATAACCGGTTAGTTTGGTGAGACGAGACACTAAATCTCCTAAGCGATGCTAGAGATTCAAATCATGGTGTTTGCGAATGGAGTAAATTAGATTGGGAAGGTCGCCTTTGAATCTACAGTATCCGATCCAGATTATTCGATTAATAAATCGAATACCGGTTATTTTAAAAAATAGATAAAAAGGAAATAATTATCAAAATATAAAATCAATTCCATTACTTGACACCATGCATGCATGAAGAAGAAAATGGTAGAAGGTACACAGTTACTTAATGTTTGTACCTTATACAATTTTTCTTACAATGTACTATGGTACTTATACAAATACCATTACAGACAAAACAAAAAAATGGTTACAGAAAAGTATACATAAATATGAATTAATCTATATGTGGGTTAGCTTGGTACTTGGTCAATTGTTCTAGGTCACCTAAACCGTAAGTAAAAAAAATACAATTATTAAAGTCAATAAATGCATTGGATAAATTAATATTCTTATTAAAAAGTTGAATAATTAAATACACAGTTTTTTTTGTGGGTAAAGAGTGGAAACTATCAAAGGCCTTGCTAAAACTCCCTAAGCCTAATAGGAGGGAAACAATACTCACATTGAGTTTTAGTAGTACGATAGTTGATGAAATTAACAAGTTGGGTTGAAGTATGGACGACTATACGATTTTATGTTATCAGTGAATTTTTTTAAATTTTAAAAAGGGATACACTTATAAAATTTTAGAGGAGTGAAAATAGATTTTCAATAGAAAATATATAGGAAAAATCTAAAATATATGATAATTTTAAATTTTTAGGGGAGCAAATGTCCCCACCCCTTTTATTCATCCATGGGTTGAAGAATCCATGAAAATATTTAAGCTTTGAGATCTTGTCATTTTATGTCTTCCATTGGGAAACAAAAAAAATGAGATTTGAAAATTTAAAGTTTTTTTATTAAACGGAAGTGATTACAAGGTAGTATTTGTTCTAAATATTCTAAATTATTTGACTATAAACGTGCTCAAATACCTTTATTTATAGACACTGATGCTCGAACATAAGACTTTTAAAGACAACAACCATTCCTTCTGAAGCGAAACAACATGAGGATAGAGGGGGCCATGACCCCTCAATATTTGGGGAAATTATTATAAGAACTTTCAATTTTTTTTAAATTTTTATATATTTATCTCACATAATATATTTGGAAAAAGTTGTTTTGTCATCTTAAAATTGTTGAAATTTCATATTAATATACATACATACTTATATGTTTATAAATGAAATTAAATATATATTCTCATAAGATATTTGAAAA